AAAAAAAAAAAGCAGGACAATATATCTTTTAAGGAATAAAAATAATATGCAGAATAAAATGGAAAAAAAACAGTGGTAAGCTTGTCCACTTGGATCAGCAAAAGCTGAAATATGGTTTAATTATATTTAGGAAAACAGGTACTTTTAAATACTAGTGAATGAAGGGGAAAGACAGATTTTGTAGGGCAATTCATCAATATCTATTAAAAGTTTAAATGTGCAAATCCTACACACTAGTGACTCCACACACACACTCTGAAGAAATATTCCTATAGAGGTGTGCACAACGATGTTCACACCAGCACCACTTTCGATTTCAAGCCAGGGACAACTAGTTGAACCATCCCTCAGCTCCCAGTGCCCTAGTGGCATCCCAGTGTCTTAAGAGTAATCCGAGGGCTAACGAGATGACTCAGTGAACAGAGCCATGACCTGAGTACGACACCAGGGACTCAGGTGAAGGTGGAAAGAGAAGATCAATTCCATAAAGTTGTCCTCTGGCCTTTACACGTGTGTCACAGCCATAGTTCTCACCCACCCAAAGAGCACCAAAGAGTGTAGTCTGGGCATGGTGACACACCTTTAATCCCAGTACTTGGGGGCAGAGGCAGGCGGATCTCTCAAGCTTGAGGCCAGCATGTTCTATACAGCAAGTTTCAGGCCAGCCTTGGCTTTACAGTGAGACTTTATCTCAAAGAAAGAGAAATAAAAAATCCAAGTGCTTATTTTGTCCCACAAAGAACAGAAAACCCTGCTGTTCTGTATTATGCCCTTGCTTTTTAACACTGAGCCACCCCTGCCTCCTTCCCTGTATGTCTCCCAACACATTATGCTGCTCCCCACCTAAAGGTCTTCTCTGCCCCACCCCATCCACCCCATTATGTATGACACCTGAGATTCAGTTCTCAAAGGGTCACCTCTCCACAGGGGCCTTCCGTGAGCATTCCATCTAAAGCTCATCTTTATCAGGTGGCCTAGCTCTACTTCCTACTTTCTTATTTACATCTGTCCTCCACCAGACTATGTGGTTTGAGAACTTGGCTTTATCCATTGTGTGCCATTAGTGCCCAGGCACAGATACCAAGCAAACTTCAGAGTGCTCCAGAAAGTTTTACAGCATGGATGCATTTTATGTTGTAGTCTGATTTTTTTTTTTTTTACAAAGCAGTTAAAGAAAAATTTTATTTAGAGTGTCATAGAAATATCCTAAACTGTTAGGTAAATTGCACTATCACATATATTTTATTAAACACACATAAATAATAAAACCTTGAAGCTATGTGTGTCAAGTTTTAAGTTTAAAAGACAAGTACTTTAGACTATGACTCTGATCTGATCATTGACTTTGGAAACAAGAAGACTTCTGAGTGACCAGGATGAAGAGGACGGCCTGTATTTTTAAACCACAGTGTATGTGTGCAATCCATGTGCAGTGAGAAATACTTAAAGGCAAAGCACACACGTCATACAAAGACAGACCTGTGAGGAGTATGAATGTTAGGAGCTGGGAAGCACCTGGTGGTTAAGAACACTTGTTCTTGCAGAGGACCTGATGTGGGTTCCCAGCACCCACATCCAGCAGATCACAATTGCCTGTAACTCCAGCTCAAGGGGGTCCTGGATTCTGGCAGCATGGGGCAGTGTACTCACATATGCACATCCCCACACACAGATACATACACATAAATAAAAATAAAAGTAAATTTTTAGAAAGTATAGAGTACTATTTTATGCATTTCTCCTACAAGATATACAAACTACAAGTTCTTTTCCATGTTTAAACATTTATTTGCCAAGTAGTATTATGGCATTGTTAAAAAACAATTTTTAATGAATAAACTTAAAGCCCAGATCTGACTGAAATATTAGCTAACTTTCTATTGAAAATCTCATTGCCATAAAATAAATGCATTTCCTATGAAAAAGGATTTCAGAGATGAGTGATAAGAAAAACTTTAAAAATAAACACTAATGTGAAGGAAGGACAAGTTCTCCTTCACTGATATGCCCACAAGAAAATAATAGCAATAATCAATCTGAGATTACTTAATCAATTAGCCTCCCCTTGGCAGCCAGTACAACCATTCAGCATTTGGAAGGCTGAGACAGGAAGGTTATGAGTTCCAGGCTTGTCTCGCTAACACAGTGACACCCTTCTCAAAAGTAATTAATTAACTTAATCTAATTAATTAACTAAATCTGGGAGTGGGCTCTTCTCAAAGCCACTTTAAGAGCATTCTCTGATGTTCAACAACTGTTAGTTTGGGAAAACGCTTCATTATATTCCACACATACAATCTGAGCAGTTAATGCAGGCGTGGCTTTCAGTAAGAACAGGAGAAAACTGAGTTATTGCACACAGACACACACATAAAAATCATTATTAAAAGTTATCTGAAGCCAGGTGTTGGTGGCGCACGCCTTTAATCCCAGCACTTGGGAGGCAGAGGCAGGAGGATGTTTGTGAGTTCGAGGCCAGCCTGAGCTACAGAGTGAGTTCCAGCAAAGGCACAAAGCTATACAGAGAAATCCTGTCTTGAAAAAACAAAACAACAAAAAAAAAGTTATCTGAGGGGCTGGAGGGATGGCTGGAGGCCACAGCACTGGCCCTGCCACTACCAACATGGAGACCCTCCCAATTCCAGTTCTTAGTGCTGGAATGCCCCAACCTGAAGCTGAAGAAGCCATCTTGGGTGCACGTGCCCCTGGCCATGATGGCATATGCCCTGGTGGTGTCTGTATTACACATCACTTGAAGGAATAATCTATGATCGTATTGCTGAACCTCCAAGTGCTGGCTCAGTGTCTGACAAACAGGGGCACCAGAGGCTACCAAGCAAATAGACAATATATTGTGAAAGGATAAATGGAGGTTTAGGTTTCCTCATCTTGGACAGATCCAATGTATCAAATATCCAAAACTCAATAGCTTTCTTCTTCTCTTCGTTGGCTTTGTCTGTGTCCTACTGGATTTCTTCATGGCTACCATATTCGTGAGAACGAAATTGCCAGGTTATCTGATGGGCGAATTCTTCTAAGAAACCAGTGGATCCCGGATGTTCTCCTATTAGCCAAGTTTTCAAGGCTGAGTTACTTCCTGTGCCATGTGGGAAAGAAAGGACCGCAGAGTGAAAGCAGCACTGAATGACAACCTAGCAGGCGCATTAAAGCTCAGATTAGATCCCTCAGCATCAGAGTTCACTCCAGCATCACGGCATCAACTAGGTTAAGCAGCATTTTCTTCTGAGTTTATTTCTTAAAGGGAATGTAGTCCACTTCTAAAACTATATTGAAAAAAGTGATTGTTTTTTTTTTTTTTACAACACCCTTGTGATGGCTAATTTTGCTTGTCAACATGACTACATCTGGAGTCAACTAAAACCTAAGCTGCTGGGTATGGCTGTGAAGGATTTTTCTTGATTGGGTCCTGAGGTCAGAAGATCCACCCTAAGTCTGGGCCACACCTTCTGTTGGCAGGCCACATAAAAAGACATGGAAGGAGCTTTTGTTGCCTACTTGGCCTTGTCAAGTTCGTCTATCCTGCTGCTGAGGCGTTCTTTTGCTGGGATTAGAACCTACTTCTTTGGGATCCCAACTGAGAATCCAGCCTTGTGGACTGAACAACTGCGGGATTCTTCCGGTCAGGAGACAGCCATCGTTGGCATTCTATCTGTTCTGTGCCTCTAGAGCAGTGGTTCTCAGCCTATGGATGGCAAGCCCTTGGGGGAGTCAAGTGACCCTTGCTCAGGGGTGACATATCAGATATCCTGCCTATCAGATTTTACACTATGGTTCCTAACAGTAGAAATGAAGTAATTTTATGGTTGGGGTCACACAACATGAGGAACTGTATTAAAGGGTCACAGCATTAGGAAGGTTGAGAACCACTGCTCTAGAGAAGCATGACTAACACACCCCTAGCCATTTTTTGGACATGGTATTTCAGATTTTCAGATTAATGTAACTTGAGAAGGTCCTGAGGTCTGAGGAATTTGGACAGCTGGTCAGTTCCTCCAGTGGTCCTTTCCCTTTAAACAATGTGTGTGGTACTATGCCATTTCAGATACACATGCAAGAATGTTTCCTGGACAATATGAAGCATGAAATGAGCAGAAATAAAAGATTTTTCTAATAAAAAAAAAAAAAAAAAGAACTCTTACTGTTAACGTGCAGAAGACCTGAATTCAGTGCCAGCATGAACAGTGACTCACCACATGTTCCGCCAGCTTGAGGGGGTCTTGATGCTTTTTTTTCCAGGTCTCCACAGACATTAACACACATACTCACATATGTGAACATACATAAACATAAATTTTAGAAATCTTTTAAAAAAAGTTATCTTTGAGGCAAGATGGCTGAGCTATGGGTAAAGTGCTTGCAATAAACCTTTGGCAACTAAAATTCAGGCTTGTTTTGGGTTTACAACCCCAGTTCTGGCACTTCTATAGTGAGATGGGAGGCAGAGACAGGAGAATTAGCTGCAAGTTCCAAAGGCTGGTGTGCACAGCACAGTAGCAGAAATAAATTACCTGTCTCAAAACAAGGTGGAGGGGGAGAACTGACTCAAAAGAGTTGTCCACTGATCTACATGTGTTCATGCACATGCACATGCACACGCGCACGCATACACACACACACACACACACACACACACACACACACACACACGTTATCTGCAGTTATGGTTAGTAGAGGTAGTGTACCTCATTACTTCTCAGATTATACAAAAAACTAACACAGTTCAAAATAGGCAAGATGAATTTAATGCCAGCAATAAAACTACCGTTTAACATTCCACAATGATAATCTTCTAAGCATAATACAGAACAAAGAGCAGAGCTATCATTACACTATCAGTAAGGTTTGGCACGGATTGTAAGAAACAGTTTAATTTCTTTGACTCAGATTTCTTCCTCTTTAGGTCTTTAGGAACACGAGAGCCTCGTTCCATTAAAAACATAGTGACAGGGCTGCACAGACGCCCAGTGGTTAAGAGCGCTGGTCGCTCTTCCAGAGGACCTTCCAGTCCCAGAGGGTCCAATGCCCTCTTCTGGATTCCTCAGGCAATAGATGCACATAGTGCACAGACACACATGCAGGCAAAACACCCATGCACATAACATAAAAATAAAGGTTAAGCATTTTTTAAAATACAATAGCATTTAATATTTTTGTTACTATCAATGCAATCATTGTATCTCTGCAATTATCTGAAGTTTAAAGGGAAAATGAAAATGTTAAAGTTTGCCATCATTTTTACCACTAATGAAGCATAACTTGTCAGAATTCATGTTTAAACTTCCAAGAAAATTCTGGAATTTTTGTGAAATACTTGTCTCAAAAAAAAAAAAAAAACCCTTCAGAGGACATATTTTATTATATCAATATCAAATGTTTTTATAATGATTTACTAAAACCTTATGTATTTTATAAAATAAATACTATCATAAAATATACTCCTAACTCCTAGGAGAGGTAATGAAAGACTTGAGGATTGAAATACATTGGGCAGGAAACTGACCCTTGTTTTTCTTCTCAGTTCTTCTGGTAATAAATAGCTTCTAGTGTGACGGACAATCCTGATCTTTGCCAGGTGCTGTCTGCTCCTCCGTTTCTGCTACAGCAGTGATGAAGAGCTGTTTAAGAATATCCTTATCCAAATTCTTGCCTGAGAATAAAACAAAACAGTGAGGCTTATTAAAACAACATTTTAATTTCCAGAGTGTTAAATGCATGGCGTTCTCTAGTGATTCCTTCTACAACTTTCTAGTTAATCCTCAAATCTAAGTTAAGCACTTTTCTAAGTTGTCTAAAGAGCAAGGTTCTAGCAAAACCTTACATTATCTGTGATTCAGACAAATACACAAGCTTATTTAGTTAATACTGGTTAAACAACACACTATATCTTCTACAAACCTATTTTGTATTTTCCTTCAGAAATTCGTTACTTACCAATGAAGACCAACTGATTTGTTCTCTCAGCATCGTCCTTCCAGCTTACTAGGCTCTCTTCCAGGTCGTACAGTTCATGGATGCCTTGTACAATCATTTGCTGTGGTTTGTCTTTGATGGACACCAGCCCCTGCTCAAAGGACAATGATCATTCAGCTCCAGTTCAGATTTGCAAGCAGAAACAGTACATAAAATTTAAAAATATTACTTTTCAAAAGACAAACTCATGACAAAGCTATGAAAATCACCTGATTCAATTATTTGCATATTCTAAGTTTTTTTTTAAAACTTCTAATCATTTTATGTACGTTGATCCCACCCGCTCCCCAAGACAGGGTTTCTCTGTGTAGCTCTGGCTGTCCTGCAATTCCCAGTGTAGACCAAGCTGGCCTCAAAATCAGAAATTTGCCAGCCTTTATTATCTCCTGAGTACTGGGATTAAAGGCATGCACCACATTTCCTGGCTACTTCTTTAAAATAGAGAATTTCTTTCTCTTTTCTGTTTTCGTCTTGTTTTTTTGAGACAGGGTCTTGCTATGAAGCCCCAGGTGGCCTGGAACTTGCTATGCAGGCCAGGCTGGCCTCAAACTCGTAGAGATCCACTTCCTGACTCTGCATCACCATGCCTAGCAATGATTCCCTTTTCTAATAATAAAACTAATATATTAGGATTTTTTTCAATGTTATTTATCACAACAAAAACCTGAAAGTGATCAAATCTGTTATTGCACCATATCATACTAATTTCTCTGCCTTTAAGGATTTGGTACTTCTTTCACAAATTTAACAAGAAAATTTGAGAAGTTAAGGTATTTTGTTAGTGAGTCTGTTTTGGAAATATATTACAATAAAGTTAGGCAAAGATCAAATAGAAAGCTATTATATTCATCTGAATAAAAGTTCAATGTGTGGGTGGCAAGGTGGCTGGCCAGAGAATAAAGGCACTTACCTCTCAAAGGTGACAAACTGAGTTCGAGTCCCAGAACCCACAGGAGAACTGACTCCATAAAGCTGTCCTCTGACCTCCTCCTGCACATTCTGTTATGTGTTCACCCACATTCAAACAAACACAAATGCACACACACATCCAAATGTGAAGTCATATGAATGGCTTTCCAAAAACTGAACCAGAATTCCCGTGTTTTGTACCTCTGTATAAAATATGACAAATGTGCCAGGCGGTGGTGGCGCACGCCTTTAATTCCAGCACTCGGGAGGCAGAGGCAGGCGGATCTCTGTGAGTTAGAGGCCAGCCTGGACTACCAAGTGAGTCCGAGGAAAGGCACAAAGCTACACATAGAAACCCTGTCTCGAAAAACCAAAATAAATAAATAAATAAATAAAATATGACAAATGCTTATAGTGACATAAGTCATCAAGTGACATAAGGTTCAACAGTGGTACAATTTTCAACATTATTTCTCTGTTAAATGAAGCTCTCTGGGCAATGGTGGCGCACGCCTTTAATCCCAGCAGTTGGGAGGCAGAGGCAGGCAGATCTCTGTGAGTTCGAGGCCAGCCTGGGCTACAGAGCAAGTTCCAGGACAGGCTCCAAAGCTACACAGAGAAACCCTGTCTTGAAAGACCAAAAAAGAAAAGAAAAGAAATGAAGCTCTCTTGGAAAAATAAACCGTTTCTCTAAGTGACCAATCTGTGCAGAGACCAGTTTTGACGGTGTCAAGCTTATGCACCAGGTAACTGCTGGGAACACCAGGCAGAGATTTGGGCTAAAGAGCCAGGGCACACAGGTTGTTTTGTTGCTGCTGCTGCTGTTTTTACAGTGATGTCTAAAGCGCCTTTTCAGCAATGGAAATCATGAAAATGAGGGCAGACAACGGTTATTTGCATAAAAGTAGTGTTTCTGTTTAAAACCAAATCTGGTTTTGACATAACAGCCGGTGAGGGCAAACTGCATACTGCACCTTCAGCCGGATGACCTCCATGCAGTGGCCGTCCTTGTTCTGCACGTCCTTTTCCCACAGGAGATTCTGTATGGGGCGACACAATTTCATAAGACCAACCACTGCAAATGCAACAACTATGCAACGAAACAGCTGATCAATCATTAATCAGTTAAAAATTGCATTCACCTGGATAAATACATTTAGACTCTCTTCCTTTGCACTTCCTGGTACTTCAAATGTGACTGTAACAATACTCTGTAAATCAAGAGAATAATTCATAATTTTTATAGAATCATCCACCTATTTTTAAAACTATAACCAGTTCTAAGATGAAAAAAGAAAAGAGTCATACTTATGGAGCTTTAGCTGATTAATAATATTATTAACCATTATTTCCCTCTTTGGGAATTATCAATTCTACAAAGTAGATCAACAGTATTTAAAAACACAAACAAACAAACAAAAACCTTTTCAGGTAAGGCGCCTGAGCAAAACAGGCGCGGAGCACACACTGCGCCTTCTGCCTGTGCTGTCCTATCTTTTCCTTCAAGAGCATCACGACAATCCCGGGAAGTGGGGACTATTTCACTTTATAGTTGGGTGAATGACACTCAGAAAAAATAACCACCCTGATGCAGAAGTACTGCTCACAACAAAAGTGTAATTCCGCTCTCCTAGAAAGAAAGGCATGTTTGGTCTCTAAATGAGCAAGCACTGTGCTGAGTGAAAGGAATTCTCAGCCAGGCTGGCAGGCAGCAGTGGGATTTCTGGCTCAGGTCTTTGGAGCATCACTTACAGAATTCAGATTTATTTTTCCTCCTGATCTCAAAAGATCTGTCTTCTCTAAAGATGCTTCAAGTTATATAATTAAAACTCAGACCTCCCTCAGACAACAATATAACCCCAAACCTCAAACTTAGCAATAAAAATACAGAGGCTAAGCACATCATTAAAGGTACCACTCCCGCCCTGGAGAGTAGGCTGCTCAAGCCAAGCTCAGAACGTTTCTAATAGGAAGAAAGAGGGCAGAGACTCTGTGTGACATCTTAGAAATGCTCAGCTCCCCAAGAAGGCCTCATAAGACTGTAGAAGAAAACATAAAAATGTCTGAGTTGTTTTGTTTATTTATTTAATTTTTGTTTCATGGTTTTGAAACAGGGTCTTGCTATGTATTCCAAGCTGGCTTTGAACTCAAAATCCCCCTGTTTCAAGCTTGTATGCTGGGGCTTCAGGTGTGCATCAGCATCCCAGCTTCTGAATTATTTTTATGCAAACTTAAGAGACTAGCTAAAAGCATTAAAGATCAATGTAGGACAATCAATATGCTAACACTTAATCCTCTGATATTGTCAATATGCAAAGCAGAGTGCTTTCTTATTCAAACATCGGAAGTAAAGTCAATTTAAAAAAGCTTGTTGGACTTATAAAATCACTTCTCCTTATCTGTGGGACATACAATACAGTATTTGTATGAAACTACAAATAATACTGAGCCACAAGGTAATGTCTTTCCAGTTTAAACTAAGGACTTAACATGCCGTGATTATAACTTCCATATTTAACTCCAACTGCAAAATTAGCACAAGTTTCTTTTTCTTTCTTCACAATGTCATGGATAGTAAATTCATTCTGACCAGATATCTTAGCAATCTCAATATATCGTTTCCCCCTTTCTTATTTAATCACCTTTTCACACACAGGAAGCACTCTGCAGCTTCTCTTTGACACACTGTATTGTCAACATTATTAGTCTTGTGCTTCAGGAGCTGATTCACTAACACAAGGGTCACATGAACATAACATTATGATATTGTAATAGTAGGATCTGGCAGCAGAGATGCCAACTCATTGAATGATGGGCAGGTACTGTATTCAGCATGGATCCAGCAGACAATGGGATGATTCACACAACACTCAGGACACAGCAGAATGGTGAGAGGATTCATAATGCTACTCAGAACAGCACAGTTTCACACTGATGAATTATTTATTTCTGGAATTTTTCCACTTAATATTTTGGACTGCAGCTGGCTACACAGAATGGAAACCATAGATTGTGAGGGCTCTACCTGTATTTTGTTATAATAATTAAAACACAAGCTAGAAATTATTTCAATGCTCATCAACAAATGAGTTTAAAAAAGTGACGGGTACCTACAATGGATTATTATTTAGTCTCAGGAAGGAAGGAAGGAAATTCTGCCACACAGTAAAATGTGAATAAACCTTGAGGATGCTATACTAGATGAAATGTGCTAGGAACAGAACACATATTGTACAGCTCCACTTGTATTAAGTACTTAAAACAGTAAACTTACAGAAATCAGAAAACGAAAAGGCAGCTG